TTTCTGGGCCTATTTTTTCGGGGCAACTTTTACTTACCTTCTAGTACAGTGTATAATGTTGTACAATAATAATTTGTTATGTTTGAAAACTTTCTAAAATTAGGACAAAATAAGAACATTTTGAGTCTGAAATCGGCCAAAAAATAAGAACACTGAGTCTGGGCAAAATTTTACTGGTTCTTATTTAAAGAGGTGTATTACAATTTCACACAGAAATGAATAAATACTAAATGATGAAATAATTTTATTGTCCAAAAAATTTAAAAAAAACCAACAAGAATACCTTTTTACCTTGATTAGAATTTTAATATTTACAAAATATTAATAAAGCGATTTACATATGCATTGTAGTATAAGATTTTCAATTTGCAAATGAATTATTAAAATACAAAAATAAGACCGTTATTAGAATATGCATGTCCTGTGTGGCATGGTTATCTTATTGATAATAATCCTCGTGCCATTGAAAAGATTCAGAAGCACGCTCTTAGAATAATTTTTTGGACTTGATCATAGATATGTCGAAGCGTGTGAGATCGCTGGTCTTCCATCACTGTGGACGAGGAGGGAGCATTTGTTGTTGTCTTTTGGTAAGAAACTTTTTGCCTCTGATTTATTTCGTAATATGCTCCCTCCTTGTCGCCAACTTGGTGTAGACCTGCGAACCCGCCCTTTACTTGAGATTCCTTTTGGCAAATCCGAAAGATTTAAAAGGTCACCTGTTGTTACAATTGCGAACATTTTAAATAATATGTTGTAAGTGGTTGTTGTTTTTACTTTGTCGTAGTGCTTTTTATGCTTTCAGTAGGCATCTGTATCTTTACATGTGAGACTACGGTTTCAGCCCTTGGCTGTTTGTAGGTCATTCATTGTCATTTATTGAATAAAGTATACCTGAATATATAAGAACACTATTCATAGCAAGACTGATTAAAAATTGCAAAGGAACATATGTATTTTTAAATCTAGTGTTTTGGGAATACATACATAATGATTCGTAAGCTCTGTTTAGATTTAATATCAAATTTTCTTTTCCATATATAGTCATGATGTGTCTATATATGGTCATCATATATAGTCCTGATTTGATGTCATCATGACCATATCTTTTAGGCATGTCACATGTTTGGTTTTTTTTTTAGCTGTTGATGGGTATGTCATCAACTGGATTGAGAGCAAAGCCTCATTTGGAGATGAGGTCAGCCAACCGGCTATCTTAAAAACCAGTTCTGGAGTTACGTGAACAGGTAAGCAGTGGTGCTCAGCCTAAATAAATGAGTAAATGATGTTGATATTTTTAGGATTACTGTAGTAATAGTATATCTAAAGTAAGCTAAAGGAGCGTCATAAATGAAATTCATTATTATAATCTCAGGTTCACAGACTCGGAACATGTATAAAATGCATGAACATATCTTACAACTGAAGGCCAGCTCAGTGAAGCAGTTTGAAATTGTTTCTGGGTTAGGTTAGTTCGTCGTAAGAATGCATGGGAAGGGTTGCGTCCTAGAGCATTAAACATTTTTAATATTGTCACGATGATCGGAAACTTCGCCTATCAATTTTATTTGACAAAAAACATGTGACATACATAAATGTGGCAAAGACAAGCCAAACCAGTCACTCTTCGCAAAAATCGATTTTGAGTTATTAATACAGTGTTAGAGAGTAAAATAATAGCTATAAAATGGTAAAAAAAATTATTTCCTTATGAAGTTACAAGCGTTTAAACATCCTGCTGTTTAAAAAGAACTATATATGAGAAATAAAAAAAATTAAAAAAAATTAATAAATAAAAAAAAATTTAAAAAAATTAAAAAATTAAAAAAAAAAATAAATAAAAAATAAAGTTTATGATTTCAGGCATTTCTCATGCAGAAACTATCATCAAATCCTTAAAAAGTGTTGTTTTAACATTGCACATTGGGAAAATAACAGCATAGAATGATGTGTAGATATATAAAATAGTATAGTGCAATAAAATAGATTTTCATTCCAGCATGATTTGGCCATTTCTCTGAAACACGATTTGCGACGAGTGACTGGTTTGGCTTGTCTTTGCCACAAATGTGATCATAATAACATTATATTACAGTATACTGTATCATGACCATACATAGGCACGTCATCTATATATACTGTATGGGCATACATTTTTTTGTCAAAAAAAATTTGATAGTGTGGACATAAATAAGAACAATTACACTACGTTTTTATTTTCCCCTCAGGTTTGGATCTGGACTGGTAATCTACTGGTTCGGATACGTTGAGGATCTGGACATTCACAGAGATCGTGGAATTGCTCTTGCCCAAGATTTTCCAAAAAAGTTTGTTCGCTTCCAACCATCGTCAGTTGAAAGCATGATGCATAGTAGCTGATGTATTCCTAGGAAGGGAGAAAACAGTTTTGTGTGTGTCCCTATGAAAGAGGGTACATTGAATTGAATGAGAAAACCAGGATAATTGAACCGTCAAATTGATCCAATCTACAAACTTGGCCCCCGGCCTGTTAAAATACAGTTGAGAACTCATGGGGTAAACTGTTGAGAGTATGACATATAGGTCTACAGACGTGGTATTTTCCTTGGAAGGGGGTAAACAGTGAGACTATAATGTATACATACTGATGTCTTCCCAGGAAGGGGTAAGCTTCTGAGAACATATGTATAAATATTGATGTGTTCCCAGGAAGGTGGTAAGCTTTTAAGAGTATGATGTAGGCCTATGCACAATGGTGTCTTCCTAAGAAGTGGATAAGGTTTTGAGAGTGATGTACATTTCTGTTAGTAAGTTTTTGAGTGTATGATGTATACATACTTGATGTGTTCCTGGGAAGAGCGTAAACTGTGAGTGTATATTTTATGCATACTGTGACTTTTCAGGAAGAATAAGGTGTAAACTAGCTTAAGGAAATTGTGAAATGGGAGGGGATACTAACATGATACACAGTACCGTATCTGATGCATTTCTTTCCTGTCTATATTTACCCTCCTCATGACAGATGTTTTTACTACCAAATGTTCGATCTTTCTTTGTAAAATCTACCATAAGTATTACAAACAATTTGTTGATTCAACTTTTAAAAGCAGTGACAAATTATATTTTGTAATATTTTGATTTCAGTGTTGTTTATGTTTCACACATTTTATCAGTGTTTTATCTGCTTGCATTTTAGTTCTGAGAATGCCGTTTTCGGCCATCTAGACATGCCAAAACCATATAATTGTTACCTTACCCGAGCTGGCCACAACCATGGTGAGACTCAGGTGGTCTACAGTAGTTTTTCTTTCTCATTGAATGAAACAAAAGTGTATGTTCAGCTAAATAAATGAAATATATTGTCTCGGTTACAATCAGCACGAAGCAATGAGACGGGCTGTTTAATCGCACTACTTGCTCTATGCTCGACTGAATTTGAGGAGTCACGTGACGTAGACGGCCAATCAGGCTGCTTAATTTTTCTTCATTGGCAATTCTCATATAGGGAAAAAAAATATTGTGGGCCCACCATTTACTTAGGCTTTCAAAGAAGGCTGTTGTAGATGTTGGGCAATTGATGAGCGCCATCGACACGGTTCAGATATTCTTTCCTTTTTCGTATGGGGGGGGGGGGAGTTCAGTAGCAAAGCAGTTGCACGGTAACGAAGATGCTTGAAAGTTAGCATTAAATCGATGGAGATCACTTATGTTCCTGTACAAGAATAAAATGGTCACATGTGACACAAAATAATGTATGTTTTATTTTATTTCAACTCCACACTACCAGCAGAGTCCAACCCACCAATTACAGAATGAAAAAAAAAACTGGATAAAAATTACAATTATAGCCTGACATCAAGAATACATTGAATGAGTTTTGATATTCAGTGAAAGAATTTAAAAAATGTATTAATAGTGTTATCTAAATTAAAACAGTAATTAAGTAAGTCCTTTCTTAAAATTATCAACTCTACTAAATTAAACTGAGAACAAATTTACTCGTCCAAGACATTGTGCAGAAACTCTGAAATGTCTTGCGTAATGCTGTACATAAAATTTTATTTATTATTTATTTTCAAGATTGTAAATAATTTCATCTATTTTCTATTCTCGCTGATTAAGAATTTAGTTATAAAAGCAATAAAATCAATTTACTTGATTATCAACCAGTTTAAAAGGGAACTAGAAAGATGACTTTTTTTTCTAGAGGGGATTTTTGGTATGGTAAATTTCTGGCTCCATCTCTAGTTAGTGCCACTTAACCATCGTCGTCGTACATCACCTACATATTATGAATGAGCTTTGTGTGCCCAGCCGTTTGATTTGCGGTGTATGAATTTGTGCTAAATGAATTTGCGCACAATGGTGATTGCACTGCCTAACGAATGCGCTGCAATAAATAGTGGATGCACTAAGCTATGGAACGCCTCTTCTGCCTTCAGTTCACAATCATACATGCAGTACATACCAATCGCTATGCACTAAACTGACCAAACAGTATGCAATTACAATGCAGTTAAATATTGCGCCATTTACACCGCCACCTAGTGAAAAAATTGAATATCACGAGACGTTTATTAGACGGCTGTAAATTTCTAAGGGAATCAATTGGTTGTATTTTCTGATATGAGGAAACATTTGAGTAAAATAATCGTAGTATATACTGTTATATACAGTAACTACTACAGGAATCAACAATGTTCTCTCGGAGGTATAGCATTTTGAGCTATGCAGTAGGTTATTAAAATATATGTCTCGCTGTTGTTTTCTTTTATATAGGACGAAATGTATAAATTGATTTCGATATAAACGTAAAAGTAAGTAAATAAATTAATAACTATACAATGATTTGGTGAAAAAAATCAAGCAAAAATAAGTGATAACATCAATTGAATCTCCTGTTGAATTATAGGCCGGGGAGGATGGAGGTTTTCGCCTAATCTATGGTTGGTTGTCATGTCCCAAACATCAATAATTGTAAGATTTGGAATCTCGGCCATCACCTTCCTCAGTTCTTTGTCCAACATTAATGAAACCCAGTCGCCCTTATCTACTGAAGTTACAGCACCAGCGTATGCTAAAGTGTTTGGAGTTTTGAGGAAAACTAGAGTTTTGGGACTCCTTTTGTACAATCGTAAAAGTGACGCCTTAGTCGTTTCTAAACGCCTCCGGTAAACGTGTAATTCCGTTGGTGTAAAATGTGCGAAAAAACAAAGGCAGATTATAGTGTTTTCATCTGCGGATATGTTGTCAATCTCGTTTGCTGCATACGCAACATTCTTCACAAATACTGATCTTGTACGGATTGGAAATGCGTGATGTCGGTACATAAATGTTAAGTTATATTTTTTTGATGTTGCTCTTAAAGGCCCCGTTTTTAAAGTTGCTCCAGGGGCAGCTTGAACAATGGATGCATCACTGATACTCGCAGCAAAGTACTCAAACCACTGTCGCAACGTTGAGTCTCCGTAACCTTAAACAAACTCTAATAAAAGGACTGTTTGCATATTCTTGTAGGCCTATATTTGAAAAGTCATGAACAAATTTTTGCCACCTTTTTATAGTTGCGTTTACAAAATATTCAGGGTCAAAGGTCAGTTACCTGTATGCAGCATGTTCCAGGTCGTAACTCTTCAACTACTTGCTCTAAAAGCACAAAAATAGTGTCTACACCGAGATTTTTCGGGACGACAATTATGGGAAATTTTTGACGCCTTACAGTAGCTGCGTTGACCAAATATTCAGGGTCAAAGGTCAGAATAGCTTTTATATAGCATGTTTCGGGTCATAAATCCTTAATTACTTCGTCTCAAAGCACGAAAATTGTGTCTACACTTAGATTGTTGGGGTAAACATTTATGGAAACATTTTTACCGACATCTAGTAGCGGTGTTGACTAAAAATTTAAAGTCAAAGATCAGTGACCTTTATACAACTATACAACTATGATCGTCATAACTCCTCAACCAGTTTACTTAGATGCACAAAAATAGTGGCTACACCTAGGTTTTTGGGATCAACATTTATTCAAATTTTTTTGCCACCTTCTAGTAGCTGCGTTGACCAAATAATATTCAGGGTCAAAGGTCAATGACCTTTATACAACATATGATGGTCATAACTCCTCAATTATGGGAAATGCCTTAGAGTAGCTGCGTTGACCAAATATTCAGTGTCAAAGGTCAGTATAGCCTTTATATAGCAAGTTCCGGGTCATAAATCCTCAACTACTTGGTCTCAAAGCACGAAAATTGTGTCTACACTTAGATTTTTGGGGTCAACATTTATGGAAACATTTAACTGCCTTCTAGGTCAAAGGTCAGTGACCTTTATGCAACTATGATCGTCATAACTCGACCAGTTTGTGTAGATGCACAAAAATAGTGGCTACACCTAGGTCTTTGGGATCAATTTAGTATTTTTGCCACCTTCTAGTAGCTGCGCTTGCTAAATATTCCAGGTCAAAGGTTACTGACCTTTATCCAATATATTATGATGGTCATAACTTCTCAACCACTTGGTCCAGAAGCACAAAAATATTGTCTACACCTATAGTAGGCCTGTTAAGCGAACCAATCCTTCAAATTGTGATAACATTCTGAAACTTAGCACAGTTTTCATTGGGGTATCAACAACATGGAATTAAAGGGTTGCCCAAAATTTGGTCAGGGGAAAGTGGCTATTTTGGATTTCAAAATGGTGGACCCCAAATTTTCACTTTTTAGGTATATCTCAGCTGAAAGGCACCTAAAGTGTTCTGATTTTGGGTGAAAAGTATATATATTATTATATTATATTTATTATTGGGGCCAACAAACATTGGTATAACTTACATTTCGATTGCATGGTGGCCATTTTGAATTCCAAGATGGCTGCCATTAAATTGCATTACAACGCATATTTGAACTTGTAGAGCCTCAATTACGGTGAATGTTATCGGGTTTATTAAACAAATATATGCAATTAAAAATACTGACTGAATAAAGTTGGCTCTTTTGAATTCAAAGATGGCCACCAAATACATGGTTTCAAGGCTTATTCTTTTATAACACCTTTATTACATGCAGTAAATATGGTGTAATTATTGGTCACAAGAAACAATTGGCGTTAAGAAAACCTATTATATAGATATAACTTCTATTATGATTGCATGATGGCCACTTTGAATTCCAAGAGAGCCGCATTCAAATGAGTGTGTCAATGCATATATCTTTAATAATTTTAAGGCTCGATTACAGTAAAATGGTGTATATTTTTGGAGTTTACAAGCATATTGATACAATATTCATTATGATTACATGGTGATCATTTTTAATTCCAAGATGGCTGTAATCTATTACCCGCTTTACACTTTGGAATGTCTATTTTGCTCAATATGGTGTATGTTAGTACATTTAATGGAATAAAGTGTGCACCAATTGATCATCCATCTGTGAACTCTATTAATGACTATGAAAATAACATAATTATGTTGTATCTCTATTACATATACACATTCTCATAGTTTCACATGTTATTTCTAAGCAAATGAACATAAACATATGTTTAATGTTTACATAAATGAGCACAGACTTCTTGTAAGGTCTTGTCTCACATTTTCCCTGGCAACCACTCAACTCGGTACATTTTAATCCATTCTTTCTGCATTTGCAGCTTCCAAGTTCACAGATTGGGCGGATCCAGGATTTGAAAGAGGGGGTTCAAAACGTTTCCAAAAACACCTAAATGAAAGTGGGTGGGGTCCTCTCCATGGAAAATTTCCCCCTTGAATCCGCCACTGTATGACTAACGCTCAGGTGACCTAGGGTTTTAAAACAAATCGTATATACTCGAGTATAATAGGACGTGGCTTAAAATAGCAAATTACGATCGAAAAAAAGGGGGTCGTCTTTATACGCACGACATTCATATTTTAGATTTGTATAATCATGTTCGTCTTATGTGCGGATCGTCCGTAACACGCGAACTTACTACTGTAGTGAAGCAACTAAATGTTGTATGAATGAAAGCAATTTTAAATACGAAAAAATACGATTTTGAGGTAAAGATTTAAAAACTCATAAAAT